GCGATGGCCTCAAACCCAAGATCACAGACCCTCGTGCGCACGTCTTAACCTCACTGACCAGGCCCTGCAGCCGCCCGAGCAATGGCCAGTTTCTATGTTCGACATAATAAACCATTTGATCCTAATTACTGATTAGAATTAATTAATTAACTTAATTAATTCATTAAAGTCTTGGATTTAACCATTAGGTCAAACCTACGTCAACAGAATATCCAGTCAAAGCCCAAGTCAAACAGGACCTAACCCAAGTCAAAGTCAAACCTGTTCAGTCAATTTACAATCCTCAACAATTCAATTCAAATAATCAATTTAATTCAATTAACCAATTTAGCCAAATTATAGCATAAACATATATAACGATCCAAACCATTAAATCTATTCTGAACGCTATTAACTTCATAGTACAAACGTGGATTACGCAGAAATCGAATCGATAGCTCGAACGGAAAACAAATCAACGAAATCAAACGAACAACGGGTCAAATTGAGCCAAAACACGAAATCGACCAATCAATCTGGCGGTGACCGGCGTTCGGCGTGGCATCGCTGCAACTCGACGGCGAGGATGGCGGACGCCGGTAGTGGAGGCGGCGTATAGTGGCGAGGCGGCAGCAGCTCCCAGAGATCACGAACAGAGGAGCAGCTCCGGTGATAGCCTCTGTCCGGCGGAGTCCCTAGCTGCAACAGCGGCGAACCGGCGATGTATCAGTCTGGTGAGTCGCAACGACCGCCGGCGAAGGTGGCGACCCGGCGTGGCGCTGCTCCAGAGATCCAATTGCAAAGGAAATTGCGAGGAAGATGAAGATGGGATGAGGGCTAACCTGGAGTGGCGACGTGGTGTTTGGGTTGCGCGGCGATTGAGCGAGGTTGGTTGGTGCGGCGAGGAGGCGGAGGCTATGCGACGCCGGCGTGGTCGAACGGCAGGGGGGATGACCGGCGATCGAAAATGAAAAAGAAGAAAGTGACGATGAAGATCGCGGCTCTCAGATCTAAACGGAAGAAGATAGGTTTAGGTTTTATTTAATGATCCCATTCCTAAAAGGATTGGGCTTCGGACCCAAAATACCTGATTAAACGGCCATAACATGAGCTCCAAAACTCCGATTCGCGAGCCGTCTAAACCGACGCGATCACAAAAATATTTCCTACGAGATGACATAAAAGTTGGGCTTAGAATCCAAATTATAATTTTAACCCCTTTTTGGGCCCAATTCGTAATCAATTGCTCTAACAATTTAATTAATTCTTTTGGGCCAGATTTCGGGGCGTTACATTTCTCCCCCCCTTAAAAAGAATTTCGTCCTCGAAATTACCTGAGTCAGTGTTCGTCAAAAAGATGAGGGTACTGAGTTCGCATAGATTCTTCGGTCTCCCAGGTTGCTTCTTCCACCGCATGATTACGCCATAGTACCTTTACCAAAGGTACCGTCTTATTTCTTAGTACTTTAGTTTCGCGCGCCAAGATCTTAACTGGCTCTTCTTCGTAAGACAAACTCTCATCGAGGGTTACAGCATTGGTCGGCAACACATGAGTCAGATCTGAACGGTATCTACGTAACATGGAGACATGAAAGACGTCGTGAATCCCGTTCAACTCTGGTGGCAACTCTAACCTGTAAGCAACAGGTCCTATTCGCTCCAGAATGCGGTAGGGTCCAATGAATCTAGGGCTAAGCTTCCCTTTCTTCCCGAACCGTAGGACCTTCTTCCAAGGTGAAACCTTCAAAAATACCATGTCACCAACATTGTACTCTATGTCTCGTCTCTTTAAGTCTGCATAAGATTTCTGTCTATCTGAAGCCGCACGGAGTCGGTCTCTGATCACACGAACCTTCTCCTCGGTATCCTGCACAACATCTGGTCCCTCGAGCTTACGCTCGCTAAGCTCTGTCCAACAAATCGGGGTTCGGCACTTTCTGCCGTAGAGTGCCTCATAAGGAGCCATCTGAATACTCGCCTGGTAACTGTTATTATATGCAAACTCCATCAACGGCAAGTAACGCTCCCAATCTTCTCCAAAGTCGATCACACAATCTCGCATCATATCCTCGACAATCTGTATCACCCTCTCAGACTGGCCATCGGTCTGAGGGTGAAATGCCATACTAAGGTTCAAAGCTGTGCCAAAAGCCTCCTGAAGTCCTCTCCAGAACATCGAAGTCAACCGGGGATCTCTATCAAATATGATTGACAACGGTGCACCGTGCAACCGAACTATCTGTCTAACGTATAAGTCTGCCAATTTGTCCATGGAGGAGTCACGTCTAACGGGTAGAAAATGAGCGGACTTTGTCAATCTGTCAACAATGACCCAGATGGCGTCCTTCTTTTGTGAAGATCGGGGCAATCCGATCACAAAGTCCATAGTGATCCTTTCCCACTTCCATTCCGGAATGATAGGAGGGTGCAGCAACCCTGTCGGAACCTGGTGCTCAGCCTTGACTTGCTGACAAGTCAAACAGCGCGCAGTGAACTCGGAGATTTCCTTTTTCATAGCTGGCCACCAATAGGATTTCTTCAAATCCTGATACATCTTGTTACTACCCGGGTGCATAGTGTATACGGTCCCGTGAGCCTCGCGCAACAAGCGATCCCTCACTCCACCGCGGGGCACCACTAGGCGTTCACGATAGTACAAGACTCCGTCATCGCGAATTGCAAACTCGGGCCTCTTTCCTGTAGGAACTAACTCTCGAGTCTTCTGACAAAACTCATCATCTCTCTGTGCTGTACGGATCTCCTGCTCTAACGGAGACTGAAGCTGTAGCTCGGCTAACGATTTTCTGCTCAAAG